TTATCAACTGATATCAATTTTACTTCCTATCACCCACCAATAGTGTTCCCGTCACACCCTCTACGTCACTTCTTGGAACCAATATCTCGCTGCTACTGGGAGCGGCGCTATGAATTTCGTGTCAAAGAGGACGCACACGCACGGACATAGCCGATTATATATGGTAGAATTGTAACCGTTGTCCCAATGTAGCGCTGAAATCTATCCTTTTGTCCATTCTTTTCTCGGAGTTAGTACCAAAAATCTCCATAACCCTCACACGAAAATTCAGCAACCTGTTAGAGCAGCCTTTGAAGCATCCTACCGCTTGATGCGTTCTCCACTACTGCAGGTTTCTTTTTCTGGAATGCACTCGGGCAGTTTAACGCTTCGAATGGTCCTCTCTCAGATTGTTGATGAAAGATAGTCATAGTCATAGTGATAAAGCCAGTTGCTGCTGTTCATGGCAACTGAGTAAACAACCGTCATGCATCTGAACTCCAGTTGCTTTAGCGGCCGTACATGATGTCGATAGCGGTAAGAGCATAAGAGTGAGTTGTGTACGAACTACTTCCCCTGATACCTGAATCATATCAATCGCATTTTTGCAGTAAGCGGTGTTGCGGATCATGATGACGCTTTCAACCCTTATCAGTTGCTGTCACTTAGTGTCACTCGTCAGTGGGTTTCCGCCCCCCCCCCTCCCCCTATACCACTTCTTTGAACCAAGGTCCCACAGACCCTGCAACCTGCCCTACAAAGTTGGTGACCCTCCGCATCTAAGGCCCCTTATCGAATCTTATCAGATGTTATCAGCTTCTGTCACACACCAATCATGTCCACTTCCCTTACCCTATACCACGTCTCGAAATCAAGGTCCCACGTTCACTGCAAACTGCGCTAAGAATTTGGTGACACCCGCGTCTAAAGTCCCTTATCGGATCTTATCAGATGTTATCAGCTTCTGTCACCCACCAAAAGTGTTCCCGTCCTGCCGTGTATATCACTTCTTGAAATCACGGTCCCGCA